ATATATATATATATATATATATATATATATATATATATATATATATATATATATATAAGGGCCGGTTCCTGTGAGAATGCACCTTGTGGAGAGAAATGAGAATGAAATCTAGCCGTTGGATCTGATGCATCGTGCGGCTCAGATTGCATCCTGCGCTCAGATTTTGAGATAGTGCATTTTCAAAGGATTATGATGCATTTCGACGTGATGCATTTTCGAACCATTTTGTTGCACCTAATTTTGATGCAATCCTGACCCTTAGATCGCACAATCTAAAAAACCAGATTCATTCTCATTTCTCTCCTAAGATTGCATTCTCACCAGAACCAATATATATATATATATATATATATATATATATATATATATATATTGAAAAATGGCTTATATCATTTTGGAAAATTCAATCTCAGTACGAAATAAGTTGACCTTTTCAAAAGATTAAATTTTATAATTTAATGTTTTTTAAAAATCATTTAAAATTGTTTTTCACAATTATTGAGATATAATTAATATATGTAGGAAAAAAATATTTATAAATTCTGGAAATTTATTTTTCAGAATTATAAATTTCTAAAATAGTTATTGGAAGTTGAAATCTTATTTTCATAATTTTTGCAAAATTATTTTGAATTAAATATCAACTTTGAAATTATTTTTGCAAAAGGGGCATTTTGGTAATTCTAGACATTCTGAAATTTTTAATTCCAGTTCTACCCTTGGGAGAAAATCAGTTTTAAAACAAATTGAGTTTATAAAATTTTATTAGATTTATTTTGACATCTAATTTGATTTTATGAGTTTTAGAATTATTTACTAACACAGTATTTTTCTAGGATTGTCTAGGGTGAGCGCGGCTCACCTAGTGTATGTATATTCCTACTGACTATGTGGATGTATGATATGTATGGTGGATGATTGTGGCTATAGTTTATTTTATTATAATACGGCCTTCGTGTCGTGCCTTATCTCTTAAACTCTTGTTGTAAATCTATTTCTCTCTTACCTCAAACGAGGATTCTTTTCTCACGTGGTGTGTAGAAGATGAAAATATTTGAAGTCTGTTTGAGGAAATCTAAAGCAACAGAGATAGCCCAAAGTCCAAGTGCCCGGAAGTTAGTGGGAGCTATTGTTTTATTTTTCTTTTAGGGGCCAAAAATCATTACACGTTTATTTACTGTGTATTTTGAACGCATGTGAATGTACGTTAAACGCTAGTAAATTGACACGTGCGCGACATGTATTGTAGGTGAGATCATAATTACAATTAAATCTCTGAGGAATATTAAGTTTTTTTCCTTCTGACACCTGGCACCTATCCAGCTAATGTGCACTCTCATGTACTCAGCCTCAACATAGCATAGTATGGTATATGTTAAGCTGGTTACGGGAATCGCCATAGAGTTGTTGCTGTCGCACGTTGGGTTATACTTAACTTAGTCTCGGTCAAATGGATGGACGACTTAGAGGCATTAAGTTGGGGTCATCAATGACAAGTCGGATGATTTTACTCACTCATCCAGCCAGGAGTTGGATGTTTATGATTTAATTGGAACAGTGCTCCTAACCAAAGTAGTCTGCTTGTAAGACGTGCCTCAGCCAATTACAAGTGTGGTGAAAAGGTGTCATATTCTGGTTGTAGTAATATTGTTCGCCCAACACCAGACCAAGAGCTGAGAGCCCGACTCATCTATTGGAACTATGTTCCTACCTAAATAGTTGTAACGCCCAAGCGGAACGCAAGATAATGAAATATGGATGTTGGCCCACTAGAGGTTTTGCCAGAAATCTCCAAATCAATATCGAGGGTTATTGATTTGTTAAAACTAGTGGGAGGTTATTAATTAAAGGCCTAATTAATTATTAAACATGATAGATAACCTAGTTTGCAAAATTTTCTGAAGATGGCAAACAATAACAACAACCTTTTCAACCTGCGATATATTCTATAAAAGAAAAAATTATCTCGAACCAACTTTCTTGATTGAGAGATGAGTCTTAAGATTGTTCTCGAATGCGAAAAAAAGCTCTACATCCTTAACTCTGAAGTGAATGCCCATGCTGCAGAAATTACTTTGTACTAGAAGTATGAAGATGATGCACGCGATGTGAGATGTCTCATGCTAGCTACCATGACCCTAGAGCTCCAAAGGCTCCTTAAGGACATGGAAGCTCATCCTATACTGTCTCGCTTGAAAGGTCTATACCAAGACCACGCTAGACATGAGCGTTTCAAAATCTCCAAGACTCTGTTTTCCAGTAAGCTGGCAACGGGTAACCTAGTTTGTCCCCACGTTCTTAAGATGATCGGTCAGATCGAAACTCTTGAAAAACTTGACGCCCCGTTGCACCCTATGCTGGCTACTGATCTCATCTTGGGATCATTACCAGGTGAGTATAGCCAAACTCCAGTGAACTTCTACATGAACAAACTAGAGATGACTATGTCTGAGCTACTAAAATTCCTCACAACTGCTAAGGAGAGTCTAGGGAAGGGCAAGGGTAAGTGTGTCCTGATGGTAGAGGACAATACTTTTGCGAAGAAGGGTGGGACACATTCACCGGTCAGGACCAAGCGCAAGGGTTCTAAGAAACCCAAGCTAGCGTCCAACTCCTCTTCGTTGAAACCCAAAGAAGAAGCTAAGAAGAAGGTTGTTGTGTGCTATTATTGTGGCAAAAAGGGCCACTAGAGGCGCAACTGCGCAAAATTACTAGCAGAGAGGAAAGAGGGAAAGAAACCTCAAACCTGAGGTAGCTTCGTTATTAAAATCAATTTGTTTGATTACACCTCTTAGGTGATGGATACTAGATGTGGTCCTCACATCTGTACTTCTATGCAGGATCTGCATGAATGTAGACAGTTGACAAAGCGAGAGATACAACTAAAAGTCGGCAATGGCGCACTCAGTTATGCATTGGTCGTCAGAACCTATAGTGTATCTCTACCGAGTGTCTTGTATTGCAGTTAAATAGTTGTCTTTTTGTACCTAGTATAAGCAGAAACATCATTTCTGTTTCCTGCCTTGACAAAGTAGGATTTTCGTTCGTTGTGAAAGACAAAATGCTTTCTGTGTTTAGAAATGATATATTTTATGCAACTGCAAGGATGACCAATGGTCTCTATATCCCTTATATGGATGCCACCGTATATAACGTAGATGTTAAGAGAAACAAATCTAACAGTTTGAATCTCGCGTACCTTTGGCATTGCCTTTTAGGCCACATTAACGAGAAACGCATATCTAAGTTACATCGCTCTGGTGTACTTGATTCATTTGACTTCCAGTCATATGATATATGTAAATCTTGTTTACTTGGTAAAATGACAAAGGCTCCATTCACCGGTCACGGTGAAAGGGCGAGTGACTTATTGGGCCTCATACACTCCGATGTGTGTGGTCCAGTTAGCACTACAGCTAGAGGTGGTTATTCTTACTTCTTTACATTTACTGACGAGCTTAGTAGATATTGATATGTGTATCTCATGAAAGACAAATCGGAATGCTTTGAAAAATGCAAAGAATTCAGAAACGAAGTAGAAAAACCACTACGTCAAAAACAGATGCTGACAACTGTTCTATTTAGTAGTCTAACTGTGCTAGTTTCAGTAGTCTTCCAAGCAGCTGTCTGATATATTTACAGACTACTGTTTAAAAACAATTGTGTAATACGGTTGACGACACCTATTTTGTGATGTTTCAGAGTACATGTTTTTGAAGTTGTCCTCGTATGAGTAAGACATCTGTTTTCTGGAGTTAAAGACAACTGTGATGTTTTGTTGTCTATCTATAATGAATATTACTGTTGTTTTCGACTTCAGACTCTTATTGCATGGTTTGTCGTTCAACAATATAGACATCTAATTTCAAAAGGAGTTGAAAGATATATCAGACTGCTGCTTGGAAGACTACTAAACAAAAATAGCATTAGACAACTGTTATCTTGTGTTATATTTCTAAAAAATATACTACTTATTTTGTTGTATTTTAAACAACTGTTTCTTTCACTTCTATAGTACACAATAACACGACGCTTTTTTGTAGCTGTCCTTGAAATATTTAAACTATCTTTTTACATAGTAGTCAGATTGTAAATCAGACTACTACTCTGAAAACAACTAAGTATGTTTGCATAAGACAACTGCTATTCTGTGTTGTATTTGTAAAATGTAAACAACTATATTTGTTGTATTTCACACAACTGTTTATTTGTATTGTCTAACGTTTATTAACTGTCCAGGTTTATGTAGTTGTCCTTTAAAGATTTAGAAAACTATTTTAATACATTGTAAAGCTGTTTGAAAGACTACTATATTTCAATTTACATTTATATTTAATTAATAAATTTTAATTCAATTCTAAAATATTGATCATGAAACAAAAATAAATTCTAAAATGTAGAATGTATTGAATAATATCTAAATATATACAATCCAAGTCTAAATAACATCCAATAATTTAATATTTACATAATTAAAATCACTCTAAATGTTCATTAAGCATGCCTAATTTAATTATTTGTCCCCTCAATAACATTTTTGAATACATCTCTTGCTCTAGCAACATTTTCTTGTAAAGCATCCTCTTTAGTCCTCAATCTGCATACCATTAAATAATTAAAATGAAAGTTTGTTAATAACAAGAAAGAGTTCATAACAAAAATACTTGAAACTTTTTGGAGTTATTTGCTAACTAAATAGCTCCAAAGTAGTTCATATGCATCTATTTAACAATTGAAGTTCATAATTTAGCTTAGAAATCAAGCAAAGTTGTAGATTGTTCTAAATAAAAAATAATTCAGTTTTGATTTTATTCAAAATCAACACTTAAAATTCAAAAATCAATATATAAACACAATTTCATGCTTCTACATATGGTCTACAAGCAGGATGTATCAATGATAGTTCAACTTTCAAGAACATGATCACTCCATAACACAAAATAACAAAACAATTAAGCCAAAAAGTTCAGTGCATATAATCTATGTTATTAATATAAGTAACACCAAGGTTATTATAGTTTCTAGATTCTAATCAAGTTGCGAGATATCAAGTCCACCCATATGTACTCCCTCCCCAAGAAACAGGTTTCACAAAAACGCAGTCAATATGCTTAGCAAAAGTATTTCAAAATTAGGTCCAACTTATTCCTCCAAGGTAATGCATCAAACAGAGGCGGGTGAAATGTTAATCTTACCATAATCAGCTCCAAAAAACAGCAGTGAAAACAACCCCACACGATGCCCAATGCCAAAGTCAAACTTCCATTACAAAGTTAGCCTAAACTACCAGTGAATATTCAAATTCCAACAGCTTCATTTGAACCTTTTGGAGGCCAAAACAGCAGCCCCAGCACTGCCATTTCAGCTCCATTTCAAGCCCGAATGCACAACAAAAATAGCCACTGCAGCAGCACGGGTTGACCTCCAAAATAAGTATCATTCAAACATCAAATTGCCACATTTAGTCAAATGGTGACAGCCCCAAGGCTTAATCACACAGTTCCAATTTGTTTTCAGTAGAAATAGCAGTTCATGATCAGCAAGTCCCTCCTATAAGCAAGTAAAAGGATCAACAAAATACAGTTCAAAAATACAGTTAAAATAGTCCAAAATCAATTTTGCAGCTCCACAACTCCAGCAAACGTAAATTCAAGGCAAAAGTAAAGAGTTTGTTTAATTGACATTTCAATAGGAGCATCAAGAGCAAATAAACCTAGAAAATAAACCCATCACATAGGTCTTAGTCCATAAAATAGCAATAATTCGAAGGCCAAGAGACAGTTCCAACTCATCAAGAACAGCAGTTTAATTCACAAAATTAAATCACAAAGGCAACTAAAAAGAGGTGTTATTAGAAAAACATGAATAATCTCTCACAATACCAGCGTAGAATCCCAAATAAGTAGGTCAAAAAAAACGAGCATAAACACAATCCAAGTTCAAGCTGTGAACAGTAAATACGAAACACAAAAACCCTCAAATCGAGATGAAATTGAAACAATATTGAAATCCAACTTCATACCAAAGAATATGTATGCAAATCGCTCAAAATACCAGAAGATTACCCATCAAAAGTGTCCGGATCGAAGTGAATCAAAGGGACAAAAATTCGAATGAACAGTGCGAGAAATAGCGTTGACTTCCATTTCTTCAAAAATTCTTCACCAATATCAGCAAAATCACCTCATGAACGGATACGCCACCTGATGGCGCACCCCAGGCTCCAAAGATCACGCAAAATGAGCTAAAATCGAAGGAAGAGGAGTAAGTCTCGTTCCCGTGACACTATTCATGGCGAGAACGAGAAACTACAGCTCCTTATCTGAGTGGCGGCTCAATGACTTTGGGGTTTTGTGGATTTAGAAATTTTTAACCTAATATTTTCCCTATCCTTTACCAAATTTTTTTCCCTCTCTTTTTTTTGTCAATACTTTTATCTTCCCTCCGTTTTTCATCCCCTCTACCCTGCTAAGTTTTACTTTTTTAGATTTTATCTTTAATTAGTTTAAATTTTTACTCTGTATTCTTTATTTCAAAAAAATTAGTAATTTTTTAAAATGCTATCACTCAAAATAGAAGTAAAAAAAGAGAGAAAAAATATGTATTATATTCCTTCAATTTTAGGTTAAATTATTAGATTTCATTTCTAACAAAACATTAATTTATTTTTTAAAAAATATACGGAGAACATTTTAATATATTCTCATCTCAATTTTAATTTTTTAAAATTCATTTTTTATACTCTTCATCTCAATTTTTTTAAAAGGCACCATCGTTCATACTCTCCGACTTATTGTACTTCAAAAAAACACAGGCAGATAATATTATACCAAATTAGATCACTACATCTAAATTTAACATGTGTATATGTTGTTTAGATGATATCTAGTGAAATTAGATTAAACCAGATCAAATTAGAAAGAGTTTTTAAATATAACTAGAATTAGATCTAGCAGATTAGATCTAATCAGATAAGATAAAATTAAAAGAGTTTTAAATATAACTAATCGGACTAATTAGATCAAATCGGACAAAAACAGATCTAATCGGAATAAATCATAGTCAAATCCAATAAGATCGGATCAAATCTACAAAAATATTGAATCAAATCAAATTCAAATCTAGTTAGATCAGATCAAATATTTAAAAAATCAATTTAATTGTATAGGTTGTGTCCTATTTGCCTGATCTAATCTTTAAATGCATTAAATTGGACCTAAATAGGTCGAATTAGACTAAAATAGATCTAATCTGATCGATTCATATTCGAATATAATAAGATTAGATAAATCTTCAAAGAGATCTATTTATTTGTATAGGTTGTGTCCTATTTGCTTGATCTAATCCTTAAATGCATAGGATTTGATGCGATTAGATCTGTTTTGGTCTTATTCGATCTAATTAGATTAGATATGATGCATTTAAGGATTAGATCAGGCAAATATGACACAAATTATACAAGTAAAAAGATATTTTTAAGATTTGATCTGATCTTATTGGATTTGAATTTGATTTGATCCACTTAGATCTGTTTTAGTCTGATTCGATTTAATTATATCCGATTTGATGAATTTAAAGATTTGATCAGCCAAATTGGAACTGTGCAAGTAACTAGTTTAGTTATCAGTACAGGTATGATGTTATACTGTCAAAAATATGGGCATCTTGTGGAATTGGATCCATGTGAGTAAGAAATTTGATTGACAAAAAAATGTATAAGTAATTTATTATTTTATTATTATACTGGTAACGGTTAGGTATTTTCACTCTTCATTTCTTGGAAACCCATCTTGTACTATTATGAAAACGGTTCGGTTTGATTCGGGATATAATTTGTTAGAACCATTTGAAAAATCACTTTTCGGTTCAGTACATTATCGTTCCAGTTCGAAACAATATCAAACCGTTATTTTTGCTTACCCCTAATAGAAAGTGGTACATAAGAGTGAGAAAATTTATGGACCAAAAAACTTTTTTGTTTCAAAAATCAGATTGCTGCTTTTAAAAATTTTCAAGTTCATCCCAATTTAAGAATCCCTCCAGATTTTTCGCCCGCCTAATATGTGCCCCCAAATTTGCAATTCTGTCTATCGCGTCCCCAAATATCTCTTCTCCTATAGATAATTTCCGTCATCTTCTTCAAATTCACAGCCATATCTCTTGTATGTTAGAACATCTATCACCACCATCTCTTGTCCGATAGAGAAGAGACTGAGTAGAACCCGGAATGAACAGAACGACGAGTTGCAGATTCTCTCTTCCTCCATCGATTGAAGCTCTGTTCTACAGATTTTTGGAACCATGGGTGCACCTTCAGCTGGTACTATTCACTCGACATTTTGTTTCTCTGATTTGCTTCGATCCAGACAATTTTGATGGCTACTCTTCTGGTTTTCTGAGCGGTTTGTAACCCTCTTCCATGTTATGAAGTTGGATTGCAATACAATTTGAATTTTATTTCGATTTAAGGCATTTTGTGGTTCGTAGTTACTGTTCACAGCGCCAATTAGGAATGCGAACTGTATCAGTTTCGTGCTTGTTTTTTGCCCAACTTTTTGTGGATTCCTGTGGTTTATTTTGAAATGTTGCTGATGATGATTCAATAAAAAGTGCGCGATTTACTTCTGATTTCAATCTGAGGAATGAATGCTTGGCTTACGGCTTTCAACTGTTGTTCTTGGTGCCCTATGACCTGCTTGACTTGGGTTTTGTTTTTTTGCTGCTAATGTTTGGTGTGAACTATGTGTTACTGTGCTTTGTTGGGTACTTAATACTCTTGTTATACACCTGAAATTGGATCATCACTAAGCGTAAACTTGTTGGTTTTTGCTCATCTCAATGGTTTTATGAAGCATGAAGTGAGGGCTGAACTCATTCAGCTTTTGGGGTATCCATGAAGAAAGCCCATTGAATCGTGTTGGAGCTATGGCAGGCTGTTCATGGGCAACTTTGGCACCTATTGAAGAAGCTGCTGGTGTGCTGGTTTTTCAAAGGGAAAAGATGTACATGGAACCATTATTTGTATTCTCTACTTTTATTGTTGTGTGTTGTCTTATATATGCATGGAACCATTGTTTTTGAGGCTGTTTGGCCACTGCTGGGACTACTCTGGACAGATTGCCAGATCATATGTGTCTCTTTCGCATTGATTGGCTGGTACTTGAAGGTGGTCTACTGGATGGTACTTGGAGGTGCACTTGGGAGTCAAATACCTTAGATGAGAGGTCATGGACTGTGTTTTGGGGCAATGATTGGACTGGAAGCTGAAGCTGAACTATGGGGCACTGGTTTGTTGCTGGTTTGCACCGATTTGCGGCTGGTGTTGCTGTTGTAAATGGCCAAAAGCATTGCTAGGAACACTGCCAGGAAGCTGCTGGTTTTGGTTGTGTTTCTAGAGTGTTTTGAGCTGCTGTTTTGACTGCCCCAACCATAGGCAGTGGCACACTCTTGAAGGAAGTTGTGTGGCCATTGTTTGACACTAGGTGTGGCTGGTTTGACCTTTATGTGACATTGATTGAGGTTCCTTTGTCTTGGGGTTGTTTTAACCATTGTGAAGAGGATTTTTGGATACTGCTTGAAGCCCTAGCCTTTGTCCTTAACCCATTCGGTTGGGGGAATTGGTGGACTTTGGGCTATTATTACTTGGGTACTAGGGGTTGACTTCATTGGGTTTCCTACCTATGCACTTGTTGTGTCTGAACTCAAACCAAGGGATGCAATGAAGAAGGATTTCAGGACAATGTGACAACTTCTAGCACTCGGGCCTTGGATTGAAGCAAGCCAATGTACTCTTAGTTTTGTTTTTAATAAATTTTGTGTACTCTTATTTGCATCTCGCCATCTTCCTTTTTTTTGGTTTTATGATGTGAGATTGATTGATTGTATGGGTTCCCAATTCCCTTTGTGTGTAGCGGGACAGTACCCAGCCTGTCCATGTACTTTTTCTTTCGTTTCAATGGAAGTGTTTATTTTTTCATATCCATATAATTGTTTGAAACATTTTTTATTTGATTCTTGTACATATATTGTCCAAAGTATGAAAGTAAAGTTAGAGAGCGTATCCATTTTCATTGTAAAAAAGATTACCGTTACTCTGAACCTTTAAAATAGTTCTAGGCTTAAGAGCTAGACTATTATTTAAAACGAGTATTCTTAACTTTTAAAATTGTTCTAGGCTTAATACGCACAATTCTCTTAAAAATAGTTTTCTTTACTTATTATAGATAACCGTGAAAAAAATGGTGTGACACACACTACTTGTAATACACTACGCTTTCTCAAAACTTTAAAAATAGTTCTAGGCTTAATAGTCTAACTACTGTTTAAAAAGAGTATTCTTAATTTATTATAGACAACTTGTAATAGATTACGGTTTCTATGAATTTTAAAAATAGTTCTATGCTATATAAACATACTACTATTACAAGGGAGTCTTCTATTCTTATAATAAACAACAATGCAAAACAAAACCATATGAAACATACAACTTACAATAGAATACTATTTCTTATAAATTTAAAAACAGTTATAAACTGAAAAACCAGACTACTATTTAGAAATAGTAGTCTTAACTATTTTTTGACAACTGTGGGAACAAAAACCATATTTTTAGATGAAACGGACTACTAATAAAAGATTACCGTTTCTCACCACTTGGAGCATGGCGATCGAGGCCTGGTCGTCCGCCCCATGGACGTCCCTAGCCTGCTTCTCCAACCTATTGATAAACTCCGGGAGCTGCTCCCCCTTCCGGATTTTCACATTCAGCAGGTGCGAGAACGGGAGCTTCTGCCTCCGACTCGATGCAAAGTGCTCTAAAAATTTGTGGGCCAAGTCGCTGTTGGAGTTGTGCCCTGATGGCCAACTGTTTATTGTTATTCTATCATGTATAGGCAGATATAATATGTTTACACATCTCATGCTAATGTAAACAAATATTATATTCCTAGATTTATATTTAAAAGATGTTTATCAGATAATGTTATTCTGCTGATGAGACTAACATCTTGAAATAAATATTTATCTAAATGTCCATAGTCGAGTATTAACGAGAGTGGGATATCGTTAATGCATGTGAGACTAGTGTGTGTTGGATGTTTGACTTAGTCTCATAGTCAATGACGGTGTGTTCGCATCCGCACATGGGCAGATATTATCTAGAGATAATAGGATGCCGGACTGACCCATCCTAAAGATGTTGCTTGAACTTTTAGTTCATGCTCTAAGCGTCTTTAGCGCGACCACGGGTGTAACTATCCTTC